ATAATGTGTGTGGCATGCAATAATGCAGTTAATGGCATTATTATAATATTCGTTAAAACCTCCATATTTAGTATAATTTTGCAGACACTTGATGTTGTTTCAATTTACAGTTTATGTCTCAGGCGATTTGTAATCAGCTATCATGGGAAAATGCATAGAAACGATTTATTTTATACAACGAATAAGTTGGTCATTGGGGTGACTGACCAGTACCGACGTCTCCGCTCGTCTTTTACGAACGCTCTTCAGGGTGATCTAGGCTGATTTGTGAAATTGGTTCTGTTGTCCGCAGCTGTTGTTGTGCCTTTGGTCCATGCTACTGGTAAAGTAGTTTGTCGGTAACGGGCTTGGAAATCTTTGTCCAGTGTGTGCACTGCCAGATAATTAAGGCTTTTTTGAATCGTATTTTCAACTGGTTTCTTTTCTCAACAATGCTGTGCAACCTAACCATTGGGAGATACGGCTTTTCTCTGCTGCATGTTGCACGATCTTTGACCTTGTTAAGGTTTGTTCGTGTTCATCTGTGATCATCATTATATTGTAAGGCATCGTTGAAGAAAACGATATGGCTGAAAAAGCCAATTAACGAAGCTTAAGTTATCCAGTGGAAGGAATCTGTTCCAGGCTCCAATTGTCTTTTGCCGAAGGTCAGACTCTGGCACAGGATCGGGAACGTTGGAAGCACTGTCTGGCGCGTCTGCCTCCGCGACCCGAAAGGAGAAGCGGCGATGGAAGATGATGATGATCAAGTTATCCAGTCCTGTGAAAATGTTGTCCGGGACTAAGGAGATAAACTCTGCAGGGGTGGACAGATTTTAATGCTCCGTACCCACAAACTACTTAATCAAAAGCATGAATTTGGCTCCAGACATCACAGCAGCTATGAACCGCAGAACCACTGCAGAAGTCAAGCGGACAATTCTGAAGAAGCCTCGTAAGAAAGGAGCGGAAACACCGGTACTGGTAAATCACCTGATTGGCCAACTTAATTGCCTGCATTGTGAATAAACAACCCGTTTTATTCAGTTTTCAGTACGAAAACGCATATTAGTCAAATCAGTTAATTGCAGCCGTATTATACATGAGACCAATTTTTTCGAAAGCTGTGATATGGCCACCCCAGAACATCACATGGTCTCCACTGTTCCTAGATCAACGATGTGCTACCAGTTTCCAAAACAGGGGGGTGGATTCCTTACTCAAAGAATCAGCAGCTAGCAAAAGTTACGTCACCCTTCGAATTTTTTAACTCAGCACCTTTAAAGTGCGAAGCAAACTACTTATTTATTGTCTCCGTCGATTTTAAGCATTAAAATTTTACTCACTTGACAACTGCACGTAGTGCATTCCTGGTTAGCGGCAGACCAACTTTCACCATCTTGGTAGACAACGTTCTGATAGTTGCAACTTATGAGT